GTGTCCCCTGCATCGGCAGGCGGACTCTCAACCACTGCGCCACCGGGGAGGCCCTTACCATGTTTTTAAAGCTTCCTAAAGGACGGCGTGTTTCAGACTCCGGTTGCCCGTCACAGATCTCCATTTATTATGACATTTCAAGTTCTATATAAAGATCAAATCTCACTTAGACACTTTGTGAGAAGCTCCCCTCCCCACCCAAAAATTACTTTTTTAATGAAGCAGAACTCTGTAACAAAAATGGCTTTGCATTTATTTACTCTTTGCATATAACTGACCTGAATTCTAAATCAGTCAGAGACAATAACACCTAACACATTGCAGCCACTTAAATGCCAAACGTGGTCATTATAATGGAAATATATGTTATCTTTTTCATCAAAAGTCTGTTGAGAGCTTTGTTACCATGGTTCTCAAGGATCCAAATTAACCAGATTTCCTGACTGTGTTTCTAGGTGAATTCGCTTCTCGATTTACATTAATTTCCTCCATGTGTCCCTTGTAGGTCCTCAGAGCACAGATCTCAGCCAGAGCTGAGTGGTGGGAAAAGCGCCCTGAACTCTGAGTCGGCTGCGGAGCTGGAATTGGTGCCTCCAACACAGGTAACAAAACCAATTCCTCAATGCGCCTATCTTTACTAATAGATAATTTATGTCATAAATATTTAAAATTTCGCCAGAAAAATCTGAAGTATTTTTTCCATATTTTCTGTTTCATATGCTTTTTTACTCAGTATCTGTCTCAATGCTTAAAATAACTGATGAAAGATAGATAGATAGATTTGGCTGGAAAATGTGTCAATGAACTCACCATGTACTTAGCACTTTTTCCTTGTTCTACCACTTACTGTTATATTATTTTCCAATACAAAATCTGTTCTACTCCAGTATTAGCACAATTTATGTAACAGGCACAAAGAAGAGGAAGTTACATCTTGAGCAGTCACAACTTTGCCCTACAGACCAAGGTACTCACACATCAGCATCCTGACTGTCACATTAAAATAAATTTGTTGCTAAGGAATAAATAATTATAGTATTAGCAATCATGATAATACTAAGAACTACCATTTGTGAGTACCCTCTAAGTATTAGGGACCTTGTGCTTTTCATATATTATATCTAATACTCAAGTAATCCTGTGAATTATTATTGGACTCACTTTAAAGGTCTTTGGAGAGTCTTGGTAAAGTCAAAATCCTTTTACAGGGGCACCCAACTAATCACCAGTGGAAGTAGGGCATGTACCAGACCTGTCTGTCTGCTACTTGACCCTCGACTCCAGTGTAACTGGTTTGCCTGTGACTAGTGACCTTGGCTGGGCCAAGAAGGGCCGTCAGCCTCAGTGTTTTCATTTGCTCAAACACTTTGCAAGGGTACAGCCTTGATCTCTTAAGAAATGTGTCCACGTTCACGCATCTACAATCCAGTTGGAAATAAGTGGGATGAAATGAGCAAGAGAGATTTTCTTGAGTTTACTAGATAAGGTATTGAAACTAAGAGGGAAGATATATTGTCTGAAGTGAGTAAAGGGATAAGTATGATAATAGCAAATATTATTGAGTGCTATGAGAAGGCCTTCTAATACACATTAATTAGCTCACTTGATCCTGACCAATGACTCTATGAGTTAAGTATATTTTTTAACCCCATTTTATAGAGGGGGAAACTAAGGCACAGTGAGAGTAAGGAAAATTGTCGATGCACTCACAACCAGTAAGCGGCAGAGGGCAGGAGGATGCAGCTAGGAAATGGAAGGCATCTGGAAACCTAGGCCATTAACAGCACCTCCACGTGCACCTCACCCTCCACAAAAGAGAGGTGGGCATTACTGCTCCCAGAACTCAGTCGGAAAACAAGTCAGCTAACTTCCAGAACAAATAACCCTGGGAAGCTTAATGAATTGTAAATGTAGTGTGAAAATGTATTTTCTTCATCTTTGTTCATTCTGAATGTATCTTTTTAAAAAGCAAATTGATAACATTTATTAGAGAAACGTTTATTGATAAGTGCATTAGAGATTTAGACTCAGCTAAATAATTGGTACTGTTTTGTAAACTGGAATCCTTGGAACAATTTTTTTTATTTGTTTGTTTGTTTATTTATTTATTTATGGCTGTGTTGGGTCTTCGTTACTGCACTCAGGCTCTTCTCTAGTTGCGGCAAGGGGGCGGGCTGCTCTTTGTTGCGGTGCACAGGCTTCTCATTGCGGTGGCTTCTCTTGTTGCGGAGCATGGGCTCTAGGTGCCCGGGCTTCAGTAGTTGTGGTTCGCGGGCTCTAGAGCGCAGGCTCAGTAGTTGTGGCACATGGGCTTAGTTGCTCCGCGGCACGTGGGATCTTCCCAGACCAGGGCTCGAACCCGTGTCCCCTGCATTGGCAGGCAGATTCTTAACCTCTCTGCCGCCAGGGAAGTCGCTGGAACAATTTAATATAGCAGGAGAACACTAGTCTCTGCAGCAGGGTAAGACATGGCACAGGTGGGCTCTTCCACACGGAGGTGGAGGGAAGGAGGATCAGCTGGGGTCCTCGGTTGCCATGGAGACCCACAATGCATTTATCTTCTTATTCCAATGACTGCTACTCTCCCGCTGGTTGTCTGATTTCATCCCACCACATTGTCCTTCCACTTACCCACTGGTGTGCCTTTAAGAAAACACAATGTGCTTTGGAAAATTTGTATGAGATACCCAACATTGTCCTCCTGAGATAGTTCTGTTTAGATAAATCATAGGGAATTATTTTAGAAGGATACCAATTATTTGTAAAGCATTCATCCCTTAAATTGTTTTCTTAAAAAACACTGCATGTTTACCTAACAAGATTTGCCTAAACTAAAGAAATTTATAATCTCGTAGTTTTAATTCCAGCCTATGGTTAAATAGGAAAATTTCGTAAATTTGGGATTTAATCATCTAAAATATTGAGTCACTCAATGGAACAGCAAGAGAATAGACTGATTCATCTACTTGTAATAAAAGACAGAAAGGTGTTTTTACTGTTAGAAGCATACTGCTCTTAAATATATGATCTCTTTATATAAATAAGATGATGAAATGGTATAAAAAATTCGACTTAAACTGACTTGCAAACTATTCAAGTAAACAATTTCAGCTTTTACCAAAATTTGCTACTGCTCCAGTCACTCAGATGGTTCATAGGAAAATCAAGGAAATATCTTCTTCTCCCTCAAGCCAACATAAATTATCTTAGTTCAACAGGTGAGGAGCTATTTACAAGCTTTGCTCAAAAATCATATTTCAGAATCACAAAGAGAATGAAAGCTCTCAATGAGAATTCTCATGTTTGTTCATTTTCAAGACAGGGAAAAAGAAAAACATAGACTAGTCTCTTTCAAATAGTGTTTTGAATATACTAATCAGAGTGGCAGGAGATTATAATAAATTATATAATCTCTGTATATTTAAAGAATAAAGTTTCTTGATATTATGCAAACTGTGTTATTTATATTCCCTGGAGTTAATTATTTAAAGAAATCGTGCAATCTGAAAAATTTAAAAATCTATGAAACATTGAAGAAAAACACAGAAGGTAATGATATAAAATTAGCTTTTCCGTAAGTGAGATAGTGGTGAGGCAAAAGAAAAGAAACTTCTGCCAGAGTGATGGTTCACGCATTTCTTTTTCAAGTCTGGACACTGGAAGGAGCGCTCCAACACAGGCTCTTGCCACCCTAAGCTGGACTTCATGAGAAGGTGGGGCAGCCAGGCTCTCCAAATACTGAGTCACAATCTTGTAACGCTCTGATTTTGCTGACTTGGGCAGAGCAAATGCTTCCTTCCACATTGTCAAAATTCCATCAAGTTGGCAGTATCCCAAACCAGAACAATCTAAACTTTAAAAGTGCAGATATGTTTTCTAAATTTTTAAAGGAATAATGTAAAAGGAAATGCATGTTAATAGAAATGTAAGATATTTCTAATATATTATTTGAAATGTTTACAATAATCTTGGGAATTCATGTTATCTCCATTTCTCAGATGAGAAATGCATCTTAGAGAACAGAAGTAATTTTCCCAAGGTGACTCAGCTAGAATGGAGAGGACCCAGCATTCAAATCTCACCCATCAGCTTCTAAAGCCCTTGTTCTTCATCACACATCACCTCCTATCGGCCACGTCTAGCTTATCCGCCTGAGAGAACTCACAAGACCATTGATTTCCCTTCTCATTGCAAGCCCTGATTATTACTTAGTTTATAGGGTTAATATGAGTTAAGTGATTTTAAAGAATATCAGTTTCCTCCAGAAACTTTGTAAGATGAATTAGGATTGTCACGCCATCTGAGGCCATACACAATTTCGTGCCTCCCCTCCCAAATTCATTCTCAACCTCTTACTCTTAGAAATGGCTAATAGCTTCCATTTTGTTCCATTTCAATTCAACAAATGAGATTGAATGTCTACTATCCATAAAGCCATAAGTGAGGCAGTGGAAAAGTTAGAAAGATGAGAGAGATTATAAGAAGTATGAAGACCTTTATGTCTAGTAGAAACAATTAGATAGTACACTGTAAATACAGTTTTGCTTTTCGGAGGACAACACAGGAGCCACATCAATATCCCTTTTCCCCTCCTGGCCACACACAGTGAGCTGCCAATGAGGTAGAAAGCAAGCGAAGATGGAAGAAAGGAACAAAGCAAAGAAGGCAGGAAAACAAGAACAGCAGGAAAGCAATAAGGACGGAAAGAAGTCTGAAGATCATTTTCAGCATAGTAGAAAATCTACACATACTAGGTACTCAACAAATACTTTTTAAAGTGGAAAAATAAGGGATGCTAACAAAAAGGAGAAACAAAATGTTTGTCAAATTACAAAATTCAAAAGTAGAAGCTAATGGTTAAAGGACAGAAAAAAAAGGACAAATTTTTATTCTTTTATCATTTTGAGGCTAGTTCCAAAAATAATTTTTAGTTATGTATGCTAATAGACTGTCCATCCCCTTTAAAAATCAGCCCTGACTTGCCTTGGTGTTCCATAACATAGAATTTCATAGTTGGAGGAAGATGGGAACCATGTGCTGCCCACCTTTTCACAAAACTTTGGGAATTTGCTCTTGACACATAAGGTACAGGTTTTTTGTATGCTTTCAATGATAAATGTCTGTTGACTGATTAAGAAAAAATATCCTGAACATCTTAATGAGGCAAGTGTTCAGATGATCTCTTCTAGCATGAGTCCAAATAGTCTGTAAAAACCACAAAGCAAAAGTGTTCTAAACACAGATTTTTTAAGTGAATTTCCAAAGTCACACCTGATAAGCGCTAACAGGAAAAATGATAATAACAAAAGCCAATTTTTTGTTGTTTATTTTTCTTTTTTTGGCCACGTCGCTGACGTGTGGGATCTTAGTTCCCCAACCAGGGATCAAACCCGTGCCCCCTGCATTGGGAGGGTGTAGACTTAACCACTGGACTCCCAGGGAAGTCCCAGAAGCCAATTTTATTGAGCACTTACTATGTACTGAGCATTTTGTGTGTATTATTTACATGAATTATTGCACTTGAGCCTTATATGGACTCCATAAGTGAATATACCCTTGGCAGATGAGAATACTGAGAATTGGGAATTCCCTGGCAGTCCAA